CTTGGGAACATTTCACCAGCAGAGCTGTGGCTAAACCACCGTGGTCCCAACCCAGCTGGGCTGCTCGGGGGATGAAAAGACCCTGGGAGAGTTTGGCATTCCCAGATAAACCACTGAATTTCCACCCGTTGCTCCTATTTAATGTGGAAACAATGGCAAAACAAACCTGGCTGGAGGGAACAAACCCAGAAACGGTGTTTGGGACTGTCTGAAAGAGATTAACACTATATCCATGAAAATATTTCGCCGTAATTCGTCCCCGCTCATTGCCTTAAGCTTCAGATATTAATAACCTGGACCTCACGACTGTCAGAATAACTTTTAGTTATCAGCAACTACAGGGTCTTCCTGCTCCCTAGTAAACGCGTATTAACTTCTGTCTTAAATGGTGTTTGTGACTTTTTAATAGAAGAGAATAAAGGCAGAGCTGAGGGGCAGCAGCACCGCGGGCCGGGGCGGAGCGTGGCACGGCAGATGGGGGAGCCAGCGGCAGCTCCTCGCTGGCCCCAGAGCAGCCAACATCTGCTCCTAATGATGGTTTTAATAGCCCGATTTATTTCAGTTACTGGAGTAGGGAATCTTAGTAAATTATGTCAGATGAGTGGGCTCTTTCTTTTCCTGAAAAATACCCGTCGCCCCCCCCCCCCCAAAAAAAAAAAAAAAAAAAAAGGAGGGGGCAGGCAGGCTGATTGGCACCACTGCACTAAGCCTATTTACTATACAAAGGGGATTTAATTCCAAATTTCAAGCGTAATTTAAGGCTAATGCTAAACATGAAAATGGTGCTAGCATCACGCTATTAAGAAATGGGTATAAAATGCATTGGGAGTCTAAGTCAGTGATTTTTTTTCCCCCCTCCTCACATTGAAAAAGCCTGCCCTGTAATCGTAATGTCCACGGGGTTATTTTTTAAAAATCCAAACAAATAAGAAAAGATCCAGAAGACTGAGGCAGAGCTCAGCTGCCAGCCTTGCCCTCAGAGTCAGGTCTGGCGTGCTCCACGGCGGACACGAGCAGCACCCACCGCAGAAACGGCTGTTAAAGAGAAAAAAAACCCTCCATGGGGGCAGCCGGGGGTGCTGCGGCCGGGGAGGACCCACGGCTCCCTCCTGGCTCCCCTGTCTCTGGCAGAGTTGCATCAGCAAAGCCATGAGGGCAATTAGTTTAGTCATCCCCTTTTTGGGTTTAGAGATCAGAAGGCAGCTCCCCACTACATTCCTAACAATTATATTAATTTTTTTGTTGTTGAACACAGTACGTCTGCCACTCACTTTTCCTTCAGGATAGGCACAAAATAGTAATTGGGTTTCTCTACGGGAGCGGCTCACACCGAGGTCAGGCTTGGCTGGAACTGAGCTGAGCGTGGCCGGGGAAGCACGTGCCAGCTGCTTCCCAAGCAGGGATGGGAGAAGTCCCACAAGGGAGATTAAAATCTCAGCTGGACACAGCACCCGTCTTCAAAAACGAGGAGCAGGGAATGACAGAGCAGTCAGCCTAACTCCGCTACTTGGGAAGGGAGTGGGGAAAAAAATAATAAAGAGTCAAGTTACAGAGATTCAGGAGATCAATAAAGTGATAAAAAAGCAGCCAGTGTGGATTTGTCAAGAACAAATACTGTCAAAGCAAACTAATTTGTTTTTTGACAAGATAGTTGGCCCAGTAGAGAAGGGAGAGCAGTGAGTGGATTGTGTCTTTTGAATGGTTTCTGACAGCATCTTATGCAGAATTCTGATAAGCAAAGTAAAGACAGAGCGTATATTTGTAAATAAATATACGGGCCATATCTTATAAATACATAGAGTGTATAGAGGTGACAAGTCAAGAAGGAGAAAATCACTGAAGGCTGCGCAACGTGCTCCTCTGAGGGGGAAGAAGCTGCTGGGGTGATGCTGGGGTGCTGCTGGGGTGATGCTGGGGTGATGCTGGGGTGCTGCTGGGGTGGTGGAACACAAAGTGCAGGACTCAGAAGGGTAACATTTGGGCTAAAGTTTCCAGCAGATGAAGACATCTGTTCTGAGCATCCAACCAACCCAAATGACCCCAGAGCAGAGGAGCGCGCCCCTCGGTTGTACTCCGGGCTGGAAACTCTACGTTTGCAGTGAACTGACAAAACCTCCTTACAACTACTCTTTCGTATTCCCTGGTTTATCAGGTACCTTTGGCAAGCTGGCTTTGCACATGCTCTACGCAAGTAAGATTGATACCAAATCGCTACCGCGTGTCAAAGACCAAAATTCCTGAGCACAAATCGAGGGTTGAACTAGATGCCAGCCCGGGACTTGGGTGCGGTGCTTTTGGGTCTGGAAGGGTTACAGCATGTCAAACAAACTGTAGACCTGGTATTTCAAACTGTAGACCTGGTATTTTAAAACAGTCAAGGCCTGCTCTGTCATACGAGTTGAATTTAACACAGCGCAGGCTGCTGAGTGGCCTTCGGGGAGCGGGGTGTTAGCCCCCATCAGCTGTGTGTCCTCAGCTCGCCTGCCCGAGCACCTCCCTGGTGGGGCCACGTCTGCCATCAGGGGGGTCACGATTTCGCCCTCAGACACAGCCCTTTTCACTTCAGAACTAAGATAACGTAACGAGGCCATGGTGAGGTACAGCCAGGAGTTTGTGCATCTGCTCCACAAAGGAAAATGCTATTTTTTGCGGTGCCAAATGTCTGTCTCCTGCCCCCATCTTCCTTGTTACCTGTGGCTCTCACCGAGTGTGCTCAGATGCTCATATTTTGGGTCGGTACAATAATTATGGCTGTTGTACTGGCACATCTGTCCCTATTCCCTCTCTGTAGTTACAAAGATCTGTGCTGATGAGTCTTCGTACCGCCTGAGTTTCCTAGAGAGTTTTTGAGGTATTTTAACTCATCTACCCAAGAAAACAAGGGTAATCAGATTGTTCCATGAATTTCCGCGTGTTACATTTAATCCATTGAAATGAAATGTGAAATGACAGAAACTGCATTTGATTTTGGCTTTCTCCCTTACTGGCGAAGTTCACTGGAGAACACAAGTTCGCTTTATCTATCCAGCGAACATCTCCTGCACGTTATCCGTGGGAGGCTATGGTTTGGTTCACAGCATGGACACGAGGGTGCACTCAGGGAAGGCTCGTGGCTCTCCCGCCCCTGGCGGTACCCTGGGGCTCAGCTCAGCACAGGAGACGAGCGGAGGCCGTTCTCTGTCCTTCCCCTCCTGCTGTGACACTGTCACCTCCTCCATTACCTCCTTAAAACCTCAGGTGAGGGAAGAAGCAAGAAGAAAGTTCCATGTCCAACACTGCTAGAGGGAAGTAGGTATTATCCTTCTCCGTACGCCAGGAAACTTTAATCAAAGACAAAAAAGAAAGTGCTCAGGTACACTCTTGCATCCATTTATTTAAAAAGAAATAGAGATTTCCTTCATTTCATCTGTGAAAATCATCCACATAAGCCACTGAGGGGATCTTCTACCCCAGCCTGGGAGGAAAAGGAAGTTAAAAAGGCCTGCACAGTTCATTAGCGGGTTTGCTCTCGTTCTGGCTTTATTTCAGCCCAGACCACCACTCTATTCCTGCTAATGGTACAGTGATGACCTCAGGCCATCAACCACCTCCCACAGAAACACCCTCGTATGTGCGTTATTAGAAGATCCAACCGAGGATCTTCTACTACTTTGTTCCTTTGGGGGTGCCCAGGTCTCGTGCCCAGCCCCGCTCCACGACGGAGCCGAGCCGAGGTGGGTCCCCCCCTCACCCCCTTAATGTAAAGCTAAAGGGCAGCTCAGGCATGGGGGGTTATAAACTAACCCAGTTTATAACACCGATGGCATCCCTTGGGGAGTTTCCTGTAGTGCTGGAGATCTGGTTGTGTTCAGCTTCGTTTCATTGCTGATAAAAATTGAATTTTTTTTTTGTTTGTTTTATATCTGCATCAGCATCTGGCAATAGGTCAAGAGTTCAGGAAGCTAAAAAAAATATAGAAAAACATAGGATCTTTCTTTATCTCTTCTCTGAGCATCTAAGGTTGCTTTCCAATGCACATTTTATTTTAAGGTGAGTTATTTTGTTGCCATAGTAATACCATTCAGGTTTTGAACCGCTACCATTTTTGTTTGCTTCCAGGCTAGACTTGTCACAAACCGTCAGCATCCCATGTCCCTTCCCGGGCAGCAGCTTCCCACCATGGTGCAAAATACCTTGAAACTTCAGCTCCAATCTGCACAATGAAGCATCACTGCTCTCTGCTAAGGCACGGGACCCCCAGCAGTCAGACAGGAGAGCTCTGTGGGGCGGGGGTGGCTGGGGCAAAACTCCGACCAAAAAAATATTCCTCTGCTCCTTTCTTATCCTTTCTCCCCAGCCCTTGCAATAAGACTTTGAGAAGGTCAAAGATAACCCGGTGGCTTTACTAATTAGCACTTATTAACACCACTCATCTGGCTGTGGTGCCGTTGTGCTCGGCCGTCCTCCTCCAGGCTCTGACACGGTCAAGAACAAACCCGTGTTTGCCCCAAAGACCTTAAAATCTCTGTAAATCCTATTTGTTGCTACACAGGTGTCTCATTTCTTTACCCCAAGCCTAATGAATTTATTTCATTACTAAGAGAACTGTACTAAAATAAAGACCTTAAATATCACAAGATGCAAAGAAAAGGGATTCGCTCGAAGGGAAATATTACTGTGGTTGGTTGGGGGAAATGGGTTCTGTAAATGTATCGGAAATTAATATTGAATTTTATATATTTATATAGTAAATATTTAAAGGAATAGTATCATTAAGATATTAAGCTATTTACATTTAAATTGGAAATGCTTTTTTTTTGCTATAATTCATTTAATTAAGGCAGGCACAGCGTGACACCTATTAGCTTAAAACCTATTACATGGGTGCCAGACCATATACATGACCGAGAGCCCGGCCGCTTGTTCCACTGCACAGTCAAAAGAAGCAGTTCAAGCAAAGCAGTTTGAAAAGGTGGTTTTTTTGTTTGTTTGTGGTTGGTTTTTTTTTTTTTTTTTTTTTTAATTTCAAATAAACCATTTCCAGATTAACAAATCAAGGCTACGTGCACGTAGAAGACCCATGTGAGCCTTCCAGAGATTGATGCATCTGGATAAATCCAGCCCAGATTAAAGCAAAGCTCTCGCTGCACAAACTCTTCCTGAAAGGAGCAGGATGCTGGTGATGCTGCCGGCACCGGGAGGAGGACTGTGCCGGGAACAACGAGTGCCCAAGTCAGGCAGGAGGATTCAGCGGTGGGGCTGCTCTCTACGCTGTTCTGTTGCGTTTCTCTTTGGCGGGGGGAATTGCCGAGGCAGAGCCATTCCGGGAGCGTTCGAGCCGCCGCAGTTTCTGTGGTTTGTAAGCTTACCCATGGCTCTGCCGCTCCCTGATAGAAAACCCTCCGCAACACGACGCTGCGCCTAAACACAATAGCAGTCCAGCATAAAGCAACAGCCTTAACAATGAGTTTCTTTGCTTTTATAGGTTTTAGCGAAGCCCATTGTGTTGTTTTAACGCCCTTTTTTTGTATTCAGATTTCTAATGTCTTTGACTGGGGGAAGGGTGGAAGGGGCAACCAATTTAATGCGATAATCCCCCTAAGCCTTGCTTAATGCAGTCACTCTGGTCTGCGTCTGTGAATTTTATAGTGGTATTTTGGGTGGTTGCAGCATTACACTGGAAAACGTCCCATCATTTATTTTGTAGCTATTGGAGGGAAATGGTTCCCAGCGCCGGGCAGCCTGTTCATTAAATCCACATTGTCAAATGAAACAAACTCTGTCACCCCAGATGGGGCTGGACCTCAGGGCTGTCGTTCTGCTTCCTGCATAAGGTAGCTCAGAGGCTGCGTACAAATCACCAAAATGAATATTAAAGCACGAGCAGGAGACTTTTGCGGTGGATGAGAAATCTCATTTTTGGCTGAGGAGGCGGGTGGGGCTGCAGGGAACAAAGCAAAGTTCCCAGCTCGGGGATGACTGCGTCCCCCTGGGACGGAGCTGCTGCAGCAGGATGGGTCCTCCCCGCTCCCCAAACACGACCAGAGCTCCCACCATCTCCCTCAGGGTGGCCGGGATGAAAGTGCTGCAGGAGGAAAGTTCCAGCAAGAGTTTTTGTCCTGTTGCTTGTTCCCCCCGACAGGGAGGGAGTGCTGCAGCGTGGGCTGTTTTTCCACACGCTCATCAGAAAGTCAAGACTCATTAAAGAGTATTGAAGCATCTCCTGAGCCTCTGCTCTCCTTAAATTCCTTCAGTGGTTCTCAGCTCCTAGAATTTCTCTCTGATGCTTGCTCAAACCTGATGCATTCAGCCAGCAGTGAATATAAACCTGTGCCAAGAGGTTAGCATCGCTCTTGATGGGATTTTTTTCAATGCCCTGTTTCAGGGTGCACTGTATCTCCCAAGAAAACATTCCTCAGCCGTGCTAGAAGCATCGCAGGAAGAGTCACAGCAACAACAAAAAGCACAAATAGGGGGGCATGGGGGGCTGGTACGGTCGATAGGCAGCAGCAACACGGTCCAGCTGCGAAGGAGGGTTTGGGAGAAAGTTTAAGGTCTGAAAGATGTTACCTGAAGCAAACTAAGTCACTCTGAGAGGAGAAAGGAGCAAAGAAAGGAAAAAAAAAATATTAAGAGACTGAGATCGACTAGACTGGCACAGAAAAAGAAGAAAGAGAGGCGTCCAGAGGGACATCAGAAAACACGCGGGGAGAAGAGGATCCACAACAGGAGAACAGCAGGATCCTTTACACTTAATGGAGAATGTGGAGGCTACAGAGGAGGTGCTTTTTTTTTCACCCCTACAGTCTGTGCAATTGCCTTCCATGCTTATCTCTTATCCAGCGATAAGAATGAAACACCTCAGGAAAATAAAGACCGATAACAGAATTCTGTCTTTATGGCCATGAGCTTCACCTCCTATCTACTGGCCTTGCGTGTTGTTTTCCGTCAGATACCAGCCCAGCTCTCAGCCACACAGAACCTCACAAACTCTGAAGGAAAACTCTTTTGTTGGTGTCAAAGAGATGAAAGGGAACAGCTAAAAGGGCAAGTACTTGCAGGTGCTGGAAAACACTTCACCAGAGATTAAATTGAATTAGTCCTTCTATCAAGAAAACCTTTAAAGGACCTTCCAGGAATTAAGTCATCTCCAAATGGACATGATAGAGAAAACATATTCTAGTGGGCTGTATCTCAAGCCCTAATAAGTTAAGGCCCAAAAAATTAAGAAAGGGAGATTCTGAAAACTGAATTCCTGAGGATATCAGTGGAAAGACTTTTTCCCAAAGATAAGAAGCTGGAAGGCTACGGGAGAACGTGTATGTCCACTAAATGATGGAAGTATGAGGACTAAATGAAATATGTGGGTCACTGTTTATTACAGAGGAATTTGTGGAGGTTTCCACGTTAAAGCCTTTCTTTACGAGGGGTAAGATGGAGAAGTCATCTCAGACTTAAGATCACTAGAGGAAGCTTTAAAATTAATGAATACAAATAACGGGAACAAAATTCCTGTATGGGACAGCATCTTGACAGTTCCAGAAAAGTGTTGAAATATGAAATTGTCGGACTACTTAACCCTAGTTTGAAACCCCTTGTCTAAATCGGGCCTGAGATTTAAGGCCTAGAACGACAAATGAAACTCAACTTTGATGGATGCAAATTCATGCAAATCACTACAAACACGGAGGAACGAGCTCTGACCCTGAGGACATCTTGGCATCGCTGTGCTGACATCTTCACAGAGCTGCACACAGCGCTGAGGCAGTCGGGAGGCAAACGGACCGTGAGGAATTACTGGGGAGGACACGGAGAACAAATAAAACTGAGCGTTGTTACAGCGCTGAGCGAGCCCGTGGCGGGGCCACGTGTTTCAGCCTTCTTTGCGCAGGATGGATAACCAGAGAAGGTGGAAAAACACAAGGGTGAGGGAGTAGAGGTCTGCAAAAACCACCTTGTGGGGTTAAATAGAGTAGGGCTTTCTTATTTGGAAAGAGAATATGACAGGGGTACATAAAGACCCCGGTGAAAGGGGATGGGTGCTCCTCGATTTGCTTTTAGTTTTGTCCTCTTGGTGTTACTGCACAACTCACAGAGCCCGTTTCATTTTCCTCATTGTCAAACTGGAGCATTAGTTTTATTAGTGACTTAGAAAGTTCGTTATCAACTCATACTCCTGTGGGCAAACTTACACGAGACAGTTTTCTAATCCATCACCTCGTAATTCATATTTAATTTCTGTTTTTTATAAGACTATTTAAAAAGTATTAATGAGCTTATTTATAATGTCTACACGTTATGGATATCAATAAATATACAAAGTACCTCAAACCGCTTTTAAGCTTTTATTTCAATAAAAGCAGCACTTTTAAAAACCCTTGCGAACCCTGTGCGCTCCTTCACAAAAATAGCTAATATTTCTGCAAAACTGACAAGCAGAATTAAAACATATAAAAATCCTCACAACTTATCAGAGAAAGGGCACGGGATACATGGGGACATAATTCTATTTAAACGACATACTCAGCTGAGGAGTTTAGTAAAATTTGCATGTCCAGCTACATGGGGAGCGAGGTGGTGAATTCCCAGTTGCAGTCGGACGCTGTGGTCCAGGCTGTAAGGTTCCTGAGCACTTCCAGAAGTCAAAAAAAAATGGAGGATTTGGCCCTAAAATCCCCCCAAATCACAAACCAAACATCAAAGGATTATTTTTTAAAAAATTAGCAAGGTTTGAAGTTGCTGACTTAGCCCCACCAGGGAGTACCAGGTGGTATTTCTGGGGCCAGAGCCCCTTTGTGTGCCGTGACCCCGCAGACGGGCACGGCCGTGGCCATTTCATGAGAAGGGCTGTGCCAGGCAGCTGGAAATGTTGGGGACAAGGGGCTCCTGGGGACAGAGAGCCAGAATCGAGCCCTTTGACACGGATGTAGCCAACTGCAATTGTAATACCAACAAGAACATAAACTACCCTGTTACTTACACCTAACGGGAATTTTCCTGCTTATGAAACTCGCGGGGTTACAGGCACTTTCAGGTGTAATGTTGAAATTCAGCGATGTGGAATATATACTGGAATGCTGACGTTATTTACCTGGTCCTTCCCCTTACAGAGCTACGAGCACACAGGTACACAGATCACCGTTGCCCATTTGCACATGCATTTCATCCCTATTTGAAATTTTGTGTTTCGATGAACAATAGAGACACAGACAAATATTTCCTTAAGATTCAGAGAGAATGAATTTGAAAACTAAGCAGATAATAAGTTCCCCCAGTCGCAGCAGTGCTGTACATACCGTCTAGCCGAGCAACAGCTAACACCAGTTAATGGCTGCCATAAGAAATATGAGATATGGATCAGTCCACGGAGTAACAGATGATACTGTTCCAGGCAGGTGGCATTTTAGGCTCAAGTGAAGGGATTTCAAGATTCTCAAGAGGAAGAAACACCGTATTTTACATCATGCAGAACAAGTAATCTATCAACTTAGATGATTAGAAGATAGAATTTAGAAACAAAGGAGAGTGGCGTCCTGACTATTTCTCAACAGCCTTTCATATGGGATAGTGTTACACCCAACTCTCGGGCATCGGGCACCATCTAGAGGAAAGATTGGTACGATGCAGCAGGGAAATTAAATATTAAATTTTTAAAAATAGCAAAAAACCTAAAGCAGGTCTTGCATAATATCTAACAGCTACTGAATTATTCTTTAGCAGCTCTTACCCAGGGAGAAAGCCATATGAAGGAACGGAAATTTGGAGATTTGTCCCACAAGACAGGATGTTGATTTGCACACAGGACCTCTGCACTCAAGCAAAACCCATGACTGTAATTATTGTTAGTTATTTTGCACCTATTTTTTTTTTTTTTTAAGAAAAAATAAGCTATGATATCAAGATTTAATTTCAAGGTTGCTGCATTTAGAGATCATCTTAAAGCAAACTTTGACTTTTCAATATCCATATTTGCTTAGAACTGCATAGTACAAGCACCATTCCCCAAGTTCCCTCTAAATAACACTTTGACATCAGTTAAACTTTGGATTTAACTTCCGCAACAATTAATACCCTTGTTCACCATTTAGCTGCATAAGAAAGGCCCGAGATGAGCAGGATGTACATAGAAATGTGCATGGAAAATACTAAAAAAAACCAAAAATACCCCAAGCTGAAAATGCTTAACTTGCTCTACTGTTAAAATCCAAACAGATTCAGACACACACTCCCATGTACATTTACTAAGCAGGGAAGCCTGCACACCAACACGATTCCACTCTAAACTTTGGTTTTTTTTAATTTGCAACGGCACATTTCTGCCTGATTGTGAAAAAACTGCAATCATGTTTTCACACTATGTTAAAGCAGAAGTCAGAATCTGACTCATTGTGACACTATAATGATAAATAAGAGACGCATTTACCTGGTGTTTCACGCTGACTATGGGGAAGTTCATTTAATTTTCTAGTCAAATTAAACAGTGATAAACTCTGCTGGCTTGCGCTTCCTCCCAACAACAGCCACAGAGTGTGATGGAGCATTTTGCAGGGGAGGTAGAGGCTGCCAGTGACCAAGGTATGAAAAGTGCCCTGAGGGCAAGCACTAGTGCAGCCCTGCATGAACCAAAAAGAGGCAAAAAGCTGAAAAATGGCTTATTGTTAAATGCTGAGAGGTTTCTACAACATCAGACTGGTCGAAGCGATGGTATTTGAGTATTACCAGTTTCTACTCCTAAAGATCCTTTAAGGGCTTTCACTTCTGTTTATTTTTGAAGAGCATTATGGAAAGAAACTGTTAAAATCCAGCTTCCTCCTTAAAGCATCTCTGCTTCTGAATACCTCTGCTGTTCATTGGGGAAGATTATGCCAGTGAGCACATCCTTCACTGCTCGGTGCCACTGCTTCTGTTGGCACTGACATGATGGAGTTGTGCTTTGGAAAAAAGATGAATAAGCACAACCATAAAATCTTGCTTTCGCTGGGAGATTTACTACCATCCCTCAGCATGCTGCTTCTTGGATGCAGAGGATCCAGAAAGAGATGAGTCATGGAAGCTGCAAGATCCGCGTGTGGCTGCAGTGTGCTGTGGAAACGGGGCGCCTGGGGAAGGAAAGAGCCGCTCGAGGATGGGCCTTACTCACCACAGAGATGAGTCCTGGAGGGGAAAACCCGGGAGAAGCAGGAAAAGGTCTTGATCACAGGCCTTGCAGCAGCCTTGGGGAATAATAAAGCAACTGGGAGAACGTTAGGGCTAGGAAGCGGTGGTGCCAGGGAGCCAGCAGCACGGGAAGAGGCTTGGGAGCCGCTGCAGAGCAGTACAGCCGAGCCAAGAGCACGCCAGCGGAGCCTGGCCAAGGGAAAAGTTACACAACGGCTGTTTTGGGCATGACTAATGCTCTGTTTGTACTTGAGCCGAACGCAGGACGCCGTGGCCTGCGTACCTGAGCGCTGCAACACGGGCGGAACAAATAGCTGGGGGATTACGAACGCGCCTCCCGTCTTGCTGATGCCTGAAGGCGGCTGAGCTGCAGCGAGGGCGCAGCGTGGAGCCCTCCCGGTTTGGGGCTGCAGGGTCGGGTGTTTCTAAGCACTGTGGTGTGGGAAGGACACGGGTTTACTTTGGGACTGTTTTCTATCCCAGGCTTCCCATTTGAGAGCCCATTTTAGCAACCGTAGATATTTCCATCGGCTCTAGGTAAGCCCTAAAAGAATAATCCTGCCTCTTGCGGTGGTGCAGCTTCATGTGTTGCCACTCCTCAGCTCAAATAAAAGTAAACTGTGAGTAGAGAGATCTAGTAAGGCATCAACCAAAAGGCATATGCATAAATAAATCTATTAGGTGACTGTTAGCACTGGAACGCACCAGGACGTAACACTATACATTTGCAACACTGTGTTTGCTCATGACATAGAATTCTATTCAGCTCAGAAACATTGGGATGTATTTTCAGGGCATACTATAAAACATCCGTATTTTTTTTCTTTGCGTTCCCATCATGCATAAAAGTACAAGCTTGCAATTCTCAGCTCTGGAGACAGGTGGGAGAAACATTACCTCTAAGGATAGTGAATATCGGCATGCTCTTCTCCTAGCTGGTAATTTATTTTGAGAATTGCAGTTTTGCACCGTATCTCTCACAGGAAGCAGCTGGGTTGTAACTTCAGAGGCTCCAGTTTAAGGCTGGAAAGGTGGGAGAGTTGTTACTATCGAAAAGCCACTAGAAGTAGGGTTTGCAGCTTGGTAAGGTGGCACCTCGTGTCTCTGCTAGTGATGAGCTGATCAACAAACCTGCCTTCAGAAAGATTCCAAGAGCTACCAGGTGAGTGATTTTTTAAAAATTTAAACTCTCCTTAGCAGCTTGAGAGCTTTAGAAAATGAAGAACAGAGGTCCACACATCGTCCAGTTAATCCGAGCTCCTGGAACAAAATAAACACCTTGGTGTAGGTGAATAGAGGCAAACTGTGCGGAGCAGCTGAATGTCAAGTCCCCGAGTCCTTCTCCAGAGCTCCTGGTGCTTGGTCGGGTACCTCGAAGCACCCCGAGAAGAGGCTGCCAGCAGGAAGGACCACATCCTGACCGTAACAGCAGGAAGAACTCTGAAACAGCACTTCACAGAGAGCCGAGTCATGAGTAGCTGCTATAAATATATGCTTAAAATGAATTTATTCTTAATGTTTCAACAGCATCGATTTACGATGATTCAGCTCTTGGTATTCAAAGCATGAAGATGAGTTGTCTTTTTTTATTTTCCAGTTATGACAGTGATTGTTACATTGCCAATGCTCAGGGAGTTCTAATACCAATTGTTAGGTATTTATGGTGGCAAAACACAATTTTACACTAAAGAATGCTGTCAATTCACTTAATATGTTTTAGCAACTTAGTGGTAAAGTGACATCAATTTCTGGAGCTTTGACAGGACGCTTCCCATTGAAAAAAATACTTGTTTCCCTTAAGAATATCTACAGCGACTGATACTGAACCCTTTTCTTGCTGATGAGAACAGGTGCTGTATCAAATCATATTTTCATTTCCTGGACACCGGGCGGGGGCGAACAATTTTAATTTGTCTCCTGAAGCCAGCTGGCACCCTCCGTTCCGCATCCCCTGTGTCCCTGGGGGTGCATCGCTGTCTGTGCTGAGGCGGACACGTGGCTTTTGCATGAGGTTCCTCCAAACATTGCGACAGCTTTCTAGCTGCCCGACACCAGGCATCTTAACACTGTCTTTTGAGTGCCTGTTTATGGTGAATTAAACAGTTGCAACAACACAAGTAAACGTATTTTTCTGGATTCACAGTACATGATCCTAGAGCTGCCTCACAGGCCCTTCTCCTCAGCCAGGCCCTTCTGTTGTTGCCGGCTCTCCGCCCTCACCTTGCACCCGAGTGTCACCCCCTCCTCCACAAAACACGCATGGGCTCCATGGGCTAAAGATTCTCAACCCCCTGCGCTTTCTCTTCAAAACTAATTTTCTGGGCCTTTGCTGAGGTCTCCCATTTCCCAACTGCTACCGGGCCAGGAGGCTGCCCCGAGGCCCTGTGCCTCCGAGGTGGGAGACTGGGCTGGGAGGAGGCTGAGGCTGAAGGGGGGGGGACTGAGGCCGAGGAGGGAGATCTGAGGCCGAAGAGGGAGTCCTGAGCCCGAAGGAGAGGTTCTGAGCCCAAGGAAGAGGGTCCCGAGGCCTAAAGAGTGACGGCGGCCTCACGG